GATGTTAGTGTGGGGGACTCTGATGTAAAGGTGTGGGACTCTGATGTGAAAAGAGTGGACTTTTAGTTTGGGGGGCTCTCATGTGAAAAGGGGGAACTTTAATGTGAAGGTGGGGGGCTCTGATGTGAAAAGTCGTGGCTCTTGATGTGGGGCTGGTGACGAATTGATGAGTGCGTTTGTCATCTGTTTTGCTTGACGTCGGGTAAATAGACACCAAACATGTCAAGCCTTCAAATTGCGCGCACCCGCGAAATTGCAAAAAACTACAATACCCAAAATTGCCCATAGGCAACGCTTTAAAAGCTTTTACCGCTCATCAGTTTAGGGTTATCAGTGATTAATGGCCCTAAAATGATTGCTCTCACTGCGACGTTCGTGGCGATATGTAACATGTGCAGCGTAATGGGCGCAATTGTCATTTTCGCATGTATGTATGGGTGGGGAATTTAAACCATTTTTGAGGTTTTTTTAAAATTCTTTTTCATGTGACTTTCATTTTTTCTTTTTTTTTTTTGCAACTTTCATTTTTTTTTTACTTAACGTTATTGCTATCAGATACGGGGCTAAGAATCCCCCTATGTGATAGCAAAAGATGTGACAGGTCCTCTTTATGGAGACAACAGGGGTCTCGTAGACCCCTAATGTCACCTAGGACCCCCCCAAAGAGATCTGCTTCATCCGCTTCTCTCCAGCTTCTGAAGCTGGAAAGTGACACAAGAATGCGGAAGTGATGTAATACACATCACTTCCGCATTCTGACAGCGGAGAGGGGACCGGAGGGAGATCTTGTACTGATCCCCCTCTGATCAGCTGTCACAGAGCCACCATGCTGGACCTGGGCTCGTGGCGGAAGAGGCCCTTGTCCTCATTGGCATGTCATGTGGCCTGGTATGGCGCAGGGAGCATTGGGGGGCACTCGCTCGCCCCCTCCTTTTCTGCCTTGTGCGCAGATTAAGGATCTGGTTGGGAATTTTAGGGGGGAACCCACTTTTTTTCCCCTGTTTTTTTGGAGGTGGAGTTCCCCCTTAAAATTTCTACCAGACCTAAAGGGTCCGGTATGACTTTTGGGGGAACCCCATGCACTTTTTTTTAAATGTACACCTTGGGGCCCCCCCTAACTTCCCTACCCGATCTAAAGGGTCAGGTATCGTTTGCGAGAGGGACCCCACACAGTTTTTATTTTTTCCCTTTCTTTTCTTTTTTTTAAATATTTAATCTTTATTATTTTTACAAAAAGCCATAAACAACATATTATTTTAACATACAGTGTGTTACATACTTATAATTATAATCAAATTTCGAGTACAGTTTAATGATTTTTAAAAAA